TCACACTCTATGTTAGTTAACTAAATGGTTATGATTTAGAGGCTGCATTATCACTTTTAAAATATGATAGGTTTTATAAGATTAAAAAAGCCAGATGCTATAGTGAAGTAAACATTTTGTGTGACCCTTGTTCTACTCTAATGCACTGTGCGCAGGGTGGCTAAACTTCCCCAGGAGTAGATATAAAAAAAAAATAGGCATTAATCAGCTGTTTATTCTGCTCTCTGACTTTGCCTGTCAGCCTCTATGAGAAATCCTGTTGAGGTTTGAGACTCAGTCTGTTGAAGTAAGCAGTGAGAAATTAGAGCCCTGATTGAATAATACGAATAATATGTCACTTCCAGTGAGGCTAAACCTCTTAAGCTGGCTGCTGGATGCTGATTGGCCAACATACTTAAGGATTTGTGACTGACAGTGGCCAGAAAGTGAGGAAGTTTTCCTCATGAGTCGAGAGGTAAAGCGATCATTCATCAGAACAGTCATCTTGTGATGAACTCTTGCTGTGGTTTCTGGACTTTCTTATGTCAGAGAACATCACAACAGCTGTTTTCACTGGTTACAGTGATGTGTTTGATGTGTTTCAACATTTGTTAATAAAATATGTGAGCTTTGGATTTAAATAACGCCATTGAGACTCCCCTGTTTCAGAGAGCAGCAGCCGCCACTGCTATGCATACCTATAAATCATACAAATTATTGTATAATTTGATTCTACATTTAACCTGACATGGATAAAGTAAAAAAAAAAAAAAAGAAAAAATTTTTTCGCAAAGTTTCATTTATAGTCAAATACAAACTACACCGTCATGAATTTGGGTGACTATTCTATAAATCAAGCATGTTTTTTCAAATTTCTTTGTTAATGAAGGTGATAAAAAATCTGAAAGAAAACCCATGTTTAATTCTCGATTCAGTTGTATCTGGTAAAAAAAATAAATAAATAAATAAAAAAAACTCAAGATAGACTTTTTTTGTTTTTTTCCTTTTGTTTTTTAGCATGAAACATGTTAAGTCAGGATGCTGGATGCTGGTGTCTTATAGAAGAAAACAAAATTTTAAAACTGAACAAAATGTCTTAATAGTTTAAGAGCATGATTACACAGTGTGTTTTTTCATTGTGAACAGATATCCTCAGTCATTTCTTAGTTTTGTTCTACTAGGTTGGTGTAAAATTATAGCTAGATAAATTGTTTGAACTGTATAATTATGTTCTTGTTTATTCACACCACATTAAATCCCACCTTCTTACATGCCATGCATATGCAACATCACAAAGATAGATAATGATGAATCCTTTTTTTAGCAGTTTAACTCTAAAATGTGCAGCATTGCTCTCTGCCTTTCTTTTAAATAATAATTACTGAATGAAATTTTACCATTCATGACGGCAGTTAAATGTGATTTGTTTCATGTATAATTTCATTCGATTTGAGTGAAACCGAGCTGGAAACAAATCTAGAAGTGCCTGCTAATTCTGTGCCATCAACAGTTATTTATACCGTATATTTACACATATCTCTAGTGTTAGGATGTTAAATCATGTTAAATTCAATTAAATGGGACAGAACACTATGTAGGAAAAAATGAAAACAACGTAGAATTGGTTACAGTCAGCCGTTTATATGCGTTTGTGGTTACTGTATCAAGCAGTTTAAGTAAATGGCTGACCCACTTTTCCACAGACTGCTGGAAAGCTTCTCACGATGATTACAACTTACATAATTGTGAAAATGGTGACTGAGGGTCTTTTGAAATAAGAACAAATATATAAAATTGATGACTTTGTTTGGAGAGTAAAGACTTGCAAATAATACTTATGTTAACATTGATTGGAGCAGTGTGGTTAGGTTTAAGGGATCCCTTTCTGCAGTGAAGCGATCTGCAGAGAATATAAAAGAGCACTGTTTACAAAATTATTGTGTTCCAGGTTTAGCTGGAGACATGATTGCTTCAGATTTTTCCCAGTTTTGTTTACACAATCCTAAATTCTAAAATTAATATCAAGATCATGCATTCTTTCCCTCCTTCATTTCTTTTCTTCCTGGTATCATTTCCTGCCTCCACAGTTCTTTTCATTCTTACTTGTATGAAGGTCCTTAAATGTATCTTCTTTTCTTGCCTGAAAAGATACCAGTTTTGTGTTAAAGAATTACAATCAAAGAACAAAGCTGTTCTGCTGACTAAGGATGCATGTCTACGATGAATGCAGGACAGTGTCTGTAACATCTGCTGAACTCTGACTCTCTCCCCCTGCAGCTGAGTCGTACTCTGTGGCGGACAGTGAAGGCAGCATTGCTCCCTCTGTAGGATCTCTGCCTCACCAAGCCTCTGGTAGCATCAGCCCCTGTTCCCACTCCTCATCTGGAGCATCGCGGCACCCCGTCAGCGCACTGAAAAAATGGCTCACAAATCCAGTCCGCAAGCTGAGCTCTGACCCTAGAGGTGGAGTGGGGAAAGCTGAGAAGCAGCCTTTCAAGGCAGATGGAAAGCAAAAGCCTTTATGTCACAGTGATACTAGACAAAGTTCGCTGGAAGTTCACAGTAACTACACCATCCTGTCCTCTGAAGACACGGTGAGACCCTTACAGCTGCACCACCCGCCTTATAGATGTTCTGTCTTATCCTCCTAATGCTGCTTATTTTTTGTATTTTTTTTGCAGGAGTGCAAAAGTCCAACAGCCGTGTCCCCTTCCCTTTCCTCTCGCCAGAACTACTTATGTGACCTTCTGGATGACTCACAGAGCCCAGTAATATGCTGCCCTACTCTTCCTTTAACGTGCACTAACGCCTCTTAGCAACCAATAACACTGTAACAGCCAATAACATAAAACCCTCCAACAATGTAGTAATTATGGTTATATGGTCAAGATCATTGTTTAAAATTCTAAAGACCATATCACTCAAAAACATCTGCCAGATCCTCTAAAAAAACGAGCCCACGAGCACAAAACATTTTTTTTCTTTTTCTTTCACTCTATATTAAGGTGTTTAGTTTATAAAAAAGCGGAAGTTACGCCCAGAAATTACTGCATTATGACAAAACAGAAGAAAATAATTTCTTTTGTTTTTACTTAATAAGTATCATTATTCCTAATGAATAACATACATAAGAAGAAAAGCAGATGAACAGTAGCTGCTGGAATCTGTGTTTTCAGCACCACAGCTCTGTGAACAGCAGCCTTAGGATTGCAAAAATGCATTTTAACCACTGATATAGAGAGAAAAATGTTGTCTCTGTGGAATTAAATGAACCCTCTCGCCCACTAAAGAGGTGCAAATGATCCATCCAGAGACAAAAAATATATGTATATGTTCTGCATATTAATGAAGGCAAACACACTAAATGGATTGCATTTGCAAATATCATTGGACTTTCATTCATGGGGCTAAAGAAGTTCCTTCATCCCCTCTCTTAGGCTTCTGTAACTTCTGATGAAGTGTGTAATCTTCATAGCGGGGTGAAATCAGTCACACTTACCAGAAAATTGTAACTCTAAATTAGGAGAATAAAAATCTAAAGGCAAGGTGAGGGAAAACGGTCTGTTGGAGAGCTCCCCAGCCAATAAGGGTCAAGTGTCGTCACAAAAGCAAAGGATTAAAATACAAAAAGAAAATATATCAATGTTTTTTCCTCAAATGAACAAATAGTTTGACTGATGAAATGTTTCATTTATTTCACTCCTCTTGTCCCCTGCAGTTTAACTCTTTTTTTAATGGAACATACAAACAAAGTACTGTTGTGCATAATTGCACAAAGGAGGAAAATGTGCACACACTTACCAAGATATCGCTAGGCATGCATCCCTATTCAGCCCTCCAGTGATTTCTTTCTATAACCACCTTTCAGTTCAGTTATAGTCCCTTTGGGGTATTTAAAAATCTAGATGCCCCGTTACCTTTGTAGCTTTTCCAGTTGTTCTCTCTATCCTTTTCTGCTGTGTCCTTAACCTTGTTTGTTCACCAATGAGGTTTTTGCAGAACATCTGGATTTATTCAGAGTACATTATGTCCCATTTGGTAGTTCATAATTATGAGGTACATTGTAATGGTTAAAACTCAAAATCATAGGGAATTCTACTACAGTTTTGAAAAATGATGAAAGAACACGTAGAGTAACACTTCTTCAAGAAACTACACTAATTAATTCAAACTCATGCTCATATATTCATGTTCTGTAAAACAGTTCAACCCTCTCAAATCTTGTTCACAATACTTAGATTTGATTTCTTTCCTAAAGTGTTTTATTTTGTTTGATCAATTAATTCTGTTCATAATAATTAATAATTTCAGATGTTTGTGCAATAAAATTCCCTAAATTGTTCAAATTTACAGTTATGCATTCATGATACTGATGTAGGAAATTGTTTCCCAGTCTGATTTTCTTGTTGTACACCAAATTTCCTTAAATCAACGCATTGCATATCTCTTTTTAGCACAACGCATTTTAATATAGCAACAGTGTACTCCTCACTGTTACCCTAACTTATCTTTCATATAATTTACAGCACTGTTTTTCCAACCCCGGTCCTCAAGTCACTCTGCTCTGCATGTAAGACATGTCGCTACTTTAACCAACCTGATTCAGGTGATTGTAGTTCAAGACATGTTAATCAGTCATCAACTGAAATCAGTGCTGAAGCATCTCAAACAAAAACTGTGATTTACATAATATGCAGTGCTGTAAAAAATGTACCTTGGTAAACAAACAATAACTTTGTAAAAGTGTCTCTAGAAATGTTACCAATGCTGAATATTAGCACTGACCATCTTTCAGCAATGAGACTAAAACAAATGCTCATCTCTCAGATAGGTGTGTGTCATGTGGCCACCAAATCATACTAGTCCCTCTCAGAGCTTATGAGGCATTTTAATGATTTGTTAAACCATAAAACAACCAGGACTGCTTGTATAGAATTATCTTAAAAATATTCCTTCTTCTTTTTCAATGTAAACAATGTAGTGGCCACCTGGTAATGAAGATGTGGGTCTTAGAAAAATCAGATCCATCAGGAAACCGCATAAAGCCAAAAATGATCAACGGCACATGTGTACACATGCGCAGTACACTGTTTCTGGCCTGACTGAAGCTAAAAAAGAATTTGTTTATTTTCCCAACTAAAAATGTATACTGAGAACAACTTCTGACCTTTAATACATATTTAGTTGATACAACTTAAATAGTTCATTTTACATGACAGGGCATATCTTAGTGTTTTAATGTTTGAATAATTTCAAAACTTGTATAGAAAAAAAGGTTTTCCTCACAATTATCACTACTGGATAGATATCTTCCACCAGCTACACAGAGAAGTATAAAAAAAATCCGTCATATTACACAATTTTATATTCTTCTGTTAAACCAGCAAACCTAAAGATTGTTACATTAATAACACAAATTTAATTTTCCAGGCATCAGAGGAGTTAATTTTTCATCTTTTTCGTCTAACTCAGCAGTGAAAAGGATAAGCCACAAAAATGCCTTTGGGTAAACATGAAAAGCATTGTGGACAGAATTGTGCAACAATTCTGCAGTGAGATTAAAAGAGCTGCTGCGCCGAGGAAGAGGACAAAATGTGTTTGGACCAAAGCATGTCAAGGGGATTACAGTCATTTTCACATTAGACCGTGATGCTTTTTAGGTGAGGAGGGGTATTTGTTATATAACCAGTCGCTGTGCCTGGGTCACTGACCCTGATATCTGTTATATGACTTGACAAGCAGCACACCATTACCCGCCATGTCTGCTTATCTGTCTCTACTGCAGCAGTAATAAAAGGTGCTCATTAACTCCCAGGTTACTAGGAGGTGCATTGCTGTCATACTATCCAGCTGGAAATTTTGGAGAATTTCCTAAATTTCTTCAACCTGCAAGCGGCTTTTTTATAATATTGCTAACACTGTACTGTCAGAAGTTTTATGATTTATTTCTCAAATAACCTCCAAGCGTAATGAAAATGTTAATTCTTTGTGCATCAGAATAGCTTTAAACCTCACACAGACCCCCAAATCCTCTCAACTTGTTCGAATATCTTGGCAAAGTTTCTTATCATTTGTGTGATTTTGCTTTTCTGTTTCAGAGTCTAACATCTGGTGTAAACACTCTAGAGGTGGAGGACAGCTATATCGGGGCTGAAGACTCACCATCTGCTGTAATGGACAGCGAGGAGGAGAAAAAGCTTGCCTTGGAGAAGAGTTTGTGAGTAGTGAGATCTTTTTGTGCATTAAATGTAATAGAGAGGAAGTAAGAAGGCCGATGCTGCAGTTTGCTGCAAAATATCTCTCAAATGTCCCTTTAGTGTCCTGAATTTTGATGCCACTGAGTAATTGAGCTAAAAATAGAAATTCTTATTGCTGTGTATTTACATAATATCAACTGACAGGATCCAGTTTGATGTTCCACATAAAGAATAATCAGATCAATGTCAGCTTATTATCACCGGTGGTGGGGCCTAGTGGTTAGTGGTTAGAGCATAGAGGTTGGAATCCTGAGTTTCTGAGTTCGAGCCCCACTCCCACAGACTGCAACTCTGGGTCCCTGAGCAAGACCCTTAACCCCGTACTGCTCCCTGGGCACCACACAATGGCAGCCCACTGCTCCCCAAGGTGATGGGTTAAATGCAGAGGTAAATTTCTCCATTGTAAGATCAATAGAGTTAATTTCATTCAATCATATTTAATATTATATTATATTCAATATATTATATATATTATATAATATTATATTATATATATTATTATATTATATAAAATTCAATCATTATTATCAATTATGATATTCAGCTTTCTGTTTTTTTTTACTGTTTTAGAAGATGACTCCTAAGGCGAAAAAGCTAAAATAAAACCCCAATTATAAACATTTTGACACAAAAAAGAAACCATTAAATGATTTAAGGGACATTTTTAACCTTCATTCTGCTTAGAGCTCTGAAATAAATGCAGGTGGACTTTTACATTGTTTGTTTTTAGTCTTCAGTTGACTGCATAAGATGAATTCAATAATGGGTATAAAAGGGCCTGAAGATACAGGGTTGGTTGTGCACTGAAATCATTGAATAGAAATTTTGTACAAATCTTGACCACAGAACACATACCGATCTACTTTTTTCTACTTTGGTCAATTGTATTAAGACTAAGTCACAATTGAAGATTATTTACTTAAAACTTTAAAGCAAAGTGCATTGTATTTAATACATGAGTTTTTAGAACTCTGCATCATAAGTGTGATATTTTTGTTCTTGAAAAGCCTTCCTTACACATAAGACAGGTTTAGTGAACAGATAATCTATAAAAGATCATACAGCAATACCGAATGTATCACAAATGATGCAAATAAATTATAAAATTTAACTATACAAATATATAATATTTTTTATTTCTCAGAAAATTCAACGATGCCTCTAATTTGGAAAAAAAAAAATTATCTGACAATTATTTCATTGTCCAGGCTTTAAAGGGTTAAAATGTAGATTTTTATTTATTTTATATATATATATATATTTTTAGTCCCCTTTTTTATGATTTCCTCTCCCTGCCAAAGCTCAAATTGCACACTTTGCACTTTATGTTCAGCAGAGGTTAATGTTTTTTTTTTTTTATTAAAGGAGACAACCACAAAATAGTCTAATGACAAGTCCAGTGGAAAAAAAGAAACTAAACATCAAGAAATTAACTCATCTACGTTATCTAATTACAGAAATTGCAAATTAGATGCTTGGAAGATAAAAGCAGTCAAATCTGTGCCTTATTTCCTAAACCCAAAGGAAGAAAACTTGCAGCAGGGTAATTTATCAGAGAAAAATAATTTTGATTATTATTAAAACTAGAGAAAAAAAAACAAAACAAAACTATACTTCATATAAAAAGATTTGCTGTTAAAAGAAATGCTGATAAATGTACTTTAAGTGTCTGTGAAAGAGAAGCACCAAACCGATACCTGGATCGGCCATATTGGCTCTGCTATTGACTAATTAGCTGGATCGGATATCGGTGACTTGATATCGGATATCAGAGATCCAATCCATTGCACTTTACATTGAACTGTTATTTCCTTTTTTTTGTTACCTATTTGTTAATAGACAATATAGAGTACATTTATATGTGTGTGAATTTGTTACCTTTTTTACCCAATGTTTATGCCGAGGCTAAAGCATTCATATGGAAATATTTGGTTCATCCATTTCAGTGTTGAATCATATTGCAGCGGATATTGGCCGATGTGCTCAGCCCAGGTATCAGTTTGGATTGGATCTGGAAAAAACTATATCAGTGCATCTCTAGTCTGCAAGTCAGAACTGTACAGATCCATCCAAGAAGCTAAAGATAAAAAAAAGCTAATAAAAAAAGTTGAATTAACAAACTGTATCATTTCAAGTTTTCTGATTACAATCTGCAGTAGGTTTTTCTTTTTTTATGAGTGACATGGCTCTCTGCCCAGGGCAGCATCCCTATAGGGGTCAGCACAAATTAATAGTCAGAATGTTCTATGTGTGTCATTGGCATCTCCATGTTGTAGACAAGTAAAAGGCAATAAATTAAAACATATTTGACGGCGGCTAACAGTGCAGAGGCTGGTTTCTGATTATCAACGATTTATTTTTGAAAAAAGAAAAAAAACTCAAAATTAAAATCTTTACCAACTACAACAGACCTTTTTAATAGTAGTAAATACAATTCAACAGAATTTTAAAAGCTTTTTTATGATTTATCACCAGGCCCGATTGGTTATAGGAACTTTTGCGTGTTACCATCTGAGCCTGATGTTTGTGAAATGCTCATTTATAAACATGTCGTACCTGTAAGAACAGTGCCATCACATCAAAGAAATGGCATACATTACAAAAACCTTATAAATAAGTAAGGGAAATTACTTTAAGTGTGTAAAATAAAATTACCCATCAAGTATAAACACATTACAGGGTTCATGAAGGTTATCATGGAGACCATTGATAAGCATTTCACATTTCTATTTATTTCCCAATCCTCCCAGATATGTGCTGGCAGAGCTGATAGAGACAGAGAGGTTATACGTCGAAGATCTTGGACTCATAGTTCAGGTATGTCTCCATCTGCTTTGAGTTGCTTTTGGTAAACATTGTTAAGATTTGTGTTTGAGGACAGATATAAATGGTAGATGTTTATTGTTCAGGGCTACATGAGCATGATGGCTAATCAGGGCGTTCCAGAGGACATGAGAGGAAAAGACAGGATCGTCTTTGGAAACATTCACCAGATCTATGACTGGCACAAGGAGTGAGCTTCCACTCTGTTTGAATCTTAACAATCTAATACAGTTTAGGTTTTTCAGATATTTCCTGATGTTCCAGCATGTGTCATGTGCTCTTAGATGCTTGTGTCCTGCCTGAAAATATGACTGTGTCTGATGATGCTTCTGTCATGCAGCTATTTCCTGGGAGAGCTGGAAAAATGCATCAGTGATCCAGACAGCCTGGCCCAGCTCTTTATTAGACATGTAAGTCTGAACGACCCGCAATGAAAGGCTTTTACTGCATGATTTTTATTTGGATGAAGGTTCGTTTTGTCGTCTCAGATCCCCTCCAGTGTAAAGTTTTTGGCCAGCTGTCTTTCAGATGTGTTTTCTTTTTTGGGGATCGAGTTTATTCAGCTGCAGCTGCAGAATAAAAGGATCTCATAATCACTGTAGTTCCACTAAAGCGTTCTTAAAGACTACAATCAGAGTTAAAGATTCTCCATGGAGACTAGGCTGTTGGTGCAAGGAAACGCATTTAGCAGTTTGAGAGCTTTCTAATGTCTTTTTTCCTCCAAACACAAGTAAAATGAAATTTCTCTCTTTAAATGTAGATGCAAAATAAAAATAAAAAACTGAGATCTACATATATTTTGTATGAATCTCAACCATCTTATTAAACTGCAGTTGCAAGCTGCAGCTTATAAAAGTTTTGTGAAGGTTTTAATTAAGCCTTTTTTTGTGCACTGATATTGAAACTCTTTGGTGGGAACCCAGTAAAATTTGAGAGGAAACCAGTAAATATACGTTGTCTCTCTTCATCCTCTGCTTCAATTGCTCTCATAAACTCAGTATTTAGAAAAACCTTTTGAGGCTCTGATTGTGTTAAACCCGCAGGAGCGCCGTCTTCACATGTATGTGGTTTACTGCCAAAATAAACCCAGGTCGGAACATATTGTCTCAGAGTACATTGAGACCTACTTTGAGGTGAGAGAATTTGATCATTCATTACCAGATCGAAGTTTGTATCATGAAAATAGCCATGTTGTCCAACAAAGTGTGTCCTAGTGTATTCAACTGCACAGTCAAACATTTTGGTCTTAACTTGTTGCTAGGATATCCGGCAGCAGCTGGGCCACAGGCTGCAGCTCAATGATCTGCTGATCAAACCCGTTCAGAGGATCATGAAGTACCAGCTGCTGCTAAAGGTGATGAGTATTTATATTTTACAATGGTGAATCCCAGGTACTGCTTCCTCCTATCATTTTTATTTTAGTAATGAAAACAAATGTCTAATGAGCAGGGGCAAAGCTAGATGGGGGCCCAGGGTGGCCAGGCCACCCTTAGCCCGTTAATGACCACCCCTTCAAGATGAGCCCATGTTAATGTTATTGAAAAGCGAGTTCCTCTCTAAAGCATCCGGTGATAGAAGTTATAATTTTAAGTTAAATGCTTTAAGCAATTGTACATCTTAACTGTTCTTATATTAACACCACAAAAATACAGTGGTTTTTAATCTAGGTCATTATACTAACATTACAAATGATACATACAGAATTCAGGCTCTTTTCAGAATTAGTTTTTGTATTTTATGGGAGAGATGGGGAAAGTTATGTGTCTGCAAATCATCTTGGAGTCTTCTATGTAATTCGAGATAAAAAAAAAATAAAAAAAAACATTTTACGTTTGTATTAGTATATGTTTATCTTAATATTACGCATTACAGTTACTGTTTATAGTGGAAGATTTCCCTCCAGAAAATTGGTAAGACATGCCCATTTTTTTTGAATAACTGTGCATGCAATAACTGCTTTTCAGTAACATTTTCAAATTAGACAGTGAGAGCTGGAGCTAGCTGAACCAAAGCTAACTGGAAACATAAACACTAGCAGTGTGGATCCACAGCAAATGTACTCCAATAGAAAAGATGTTCCCCCCGGAAATCAAACTAGAGAGAACATCCAATATATATGTAATTTAGAGAACACAGATGTCTAAATATTTGTTTATCTTTTAGTAAGAGCATTAGGAATATCTAGTTAGTATTTATTTGGAAATATGTAGGTGTTTATTTTGCTGTAGGTACAGTGTAGATTGACCCTGAACTAGTTCTGGCTGCTATCAACTTCCGGCTACTCCTCAGTACACATTGTCTCCTGCCGGGCCACCCCATAAACATTTTCTGGCTATGCCACTGCTAATGTACTCTTAATGAGTTTCACTCCAGTAGTGATTCAAGAGATCCACACACACACTACCTTGTCTCACTATCTTTTCAGGGCCTTCCCATTCACTTCCATTAATTCACACATGACCTATGACCCTTACCCCAACCTTAATGATTACGGGTTCACACTTAACCTAAACCCCAACCTAAACTCAGTACAAACCTTAGTCCTAAATGTTACTTCTCACCCAACAACAGCAATTCCCCGTGTGTGATCCAGGCATCGAGGACCCACACGGGGTCCAGGCATCCCGATTCCTTGGGTTTTATGTAATGTAGTGGAACGCCACAGATAACCTGTTGTTACTGCATAAAGAAAAGGAAGTGAAAAGATCTGAAAAGCATTGAAATCTTTTAGTATTCAAAAGAAAGACATTCTTGATTTATACGTTATAGGGATAAAACTCATTAATCCATTCAACATATTCTTGTTAGAACATTATTTATTATCAAATGTTCCATTTTGTCATTAAAACTACAGACAGTTGCTTTCTGCAGCCTCAACTCACACATGCATCCGTTTATGGTTATTTATGTGGCACCAAGGTTTGAATATAATCTAAATAACTTTTTTAATTGATGAAAATATCTTTTACTGTAGGATATTTTCTTGCTCTCATTCATAATAACAATCACTTTTAACACTCTTTCTACAAAATATCAACATGCACTCCTCTCTCTGTCACTTTCAGGACTTTTTGAAATATTACAGCAAAGCAGGAAGGGATGTTGAAAAGCTTCAGGTTTGGACTAAGTTTCAGCCCCAAAGGTCTTTTCTATATTCTATTCTATTCCTGTTTTAATACTTTTATACCATGTTATCTCTCAGAAAGCAGTGGAGGTGATGTGCTTTGTGCCAAAACGCTGTAATGATATGATGAATGTTGGAAGGCTCCAGGGGTTTGAGGTAAATTTACATTTCAAATATTTGATGCGTTTCGAAAAATGAGATGTAATGAATTGACTGTGTGTGTGTGCTGTTCCAGGGGAAGATTACAGCACAGGGGAAGCTGCTCCAACAGGATACTTTCTCCGTCAGCGAGCAGGAAGGCAACATAGTATCCAGAGTGAGGGAGAGACGAGTCTTTCTGTTTGAGCAGCTGGTTATCTTCAGTGAGCCGATAGAGAAGAAAAAGGGTTGTCCTTTGCCAGGGTATACCTTCAAAAACAGCATCAAGGTGAAGAGAGGGGGCTCACTTTGCATGAAATTATAGATATTTTGTTTTCTTTTTGTTTAATCTTACCAATCTCGGCTCTGTAGGTCAGCTGCTTGGGTGTAGAGGGGCCCTCTGAAGAGGATCCATACTGCCTTGTCCTGACCTCCAGAGGAAAAGATGGCAGTATAACCCGCTTCATCATGCATGCCTCATCTATGGAAATACAACAAGCCTGGTACAATGATGTCGTCCAGATTCTAGACTCTCAGAGGAACTTCTTAAATGGTATCAAAGCTCAGTTTTGCTTTAGCATCCAATCAGAGTTCAGTGATTCACAGTGATGTGACACATCCTCCTGTCCTCTGCAGCCCTGCAGTCCCCGATCGAGTACCAGCGCAGGAAAGGCACGACCAACAGCCTGGGTAGGAGCATGAAGTCTGCAGGTGTTGAACCAACTGACTCCTCATCGCCCATGGAGCGGCGTCACCAGCCCTGCCTGCTGTTTTACAACAACTCCTTGCCCTCTTTGCACTCACCACGACTCAGCTCTACATCACAGGTTATTCATTCGCACAGTTATGCTCATGCACAGTACCTCATCCCTGTTCTCCCATCTTTACCAGATGTCTCTTTCCATTTAAGGTCTCAAACGCATCTGCTGTGACTCTTCGAGTGGGCCACCCTCCGTTTTCCTCCCAACAGCAGCTCAGTTTGTGCGAAGAGGTGAAACATGACTGTAGCACCTTCAGCACCCTCTCACCCTGCAGCCATCACCGCTGTATGGTAGGTTACCCAAGCCCCGTGGAGTTTGTTATAAATGTAGCACTGAATATTTACCACAATCTGGTAGAGAAAGAAAAACATAGTCTGTGGCCATAGGGAGAAAAAGATATATTATTTTGTAACAATGCATTTCAGCTCCTTAGATTATGCAATATGAATAATGTTATAATATTTTTTATTCAGTAGACAGCTAAATTGTGTAGATTATATTAGCAGAGCTATAATCTCTGTGACTTGTGTCACGATCACTGATGTTTAGAGGAAATAAGTCTCCAGCTGCCATTGTCTGGTATCCTGTTGTTTTTTTCTCAGTGGATTTATAAACCCGTTCAGCCTAATTTGTTGCCAGGCCCGTTCAGTCTCTTGGTTTATGGAAAACCCACTGACCCGCTGGTTTTTATCTTGGTTGCTAAGACTTCCACCAAGAGTTTGATTGAAGAGTACTCATTAGGCAAGCTGATCTGGCCTGAATCCACAGCCTTGTTCTCGTCCTCTTGGCTCCAGCTTCGTATTTTTGGATCTGCAGTGTTTCCATTGTGCTTCAGCTGCATGGGAGAACAGAGCAATTTCCCATGTACCTAAAAAAGGTCTAAAAGCGGCTGTCCTAATCTGGTGGAAAACTACTAGAATTTGTGATCACATAAATATAGCAACAAGTACAGCAGTCGGGTTAAATTAGGATTGGGTTTGTTTGTTTTTTAGCATATAATGGGTGCTTAAAAAGTACACCACTTAAAACTCAATTTAGATTTAAAGTCTACTGTTGGTCTTTAGCGACTGCTGTATTTGAAAAGTGACACAGACCATTTCAAACGAACTAAAAGATGCCCTGATTTGCCTTTCTTCAAGTGCACTACAACATAAAATAATTAAGCAGAATGTGGATTTTTCACTGCTGTCTGATAAAGGTCCCCTGTGGTTCATCAAGACAGAGTTCTCTATAAGCTGACAAGTCTCCTCAAGTATCCCCCTGCTACCATGATAATCAACCACCATACTCCCACCACGGACATGTTGTGCATGTTGAAAATGCTCAGAGAACTCCCATGCTTCATCATGTGTTATAGACAAATAAGCTGCATGCATGTGCTGGACTTGCTCCTCAGAGAATTAGCACAGGATTGGCCTAATGCCAAGGCTGCAACCTAAAGTCCACACAAAGCTGGCACACCTCCAAATAGTTCGCTTTAATGCTCTTAGCAGAGCACCACTGCTCTGTCTGCTGCCAAAAGTGGACAATATACAAACTCTACCCCATAAAATGACACCACGATGTGGGAGCTTTTATAATTACACTGGTTATGGTTTCCAGTAGGTTAAGACTCAAATACATGCACTCCTGAGTTGCACATAGAGGGAAGGTTTGAGCTTTTTGGACTTGGCGTGATCAGCTCACAGTGACCAGTCAAAAACACATTTAGGGTTTTGTGTGCAATATCACTTCTGACTCATCTTGTAAAGGAAGGAGCGGGAATTGTTGTTCCAGAAAATTTGTAAACACAACCTTTTTAGAGGTCTTTTGCCCTCTCTAATAAAAACGCTGATGTTTCCTCTTAATAAATTTGACTGAAAATGATTGCAAGAGGTACAGAATCCTCCCACATGTATTAGAAACATGGTGCTGATTCTGAGGAAACATATCGGTGAAGATTACCAACTTTTTGCCTAGCTTATCTGCTTTACTATTTATTTTCTGGACAGACCCACCTATGGAACTAGTTTACGTTTGTCTCTAACATACTAAGTGTTTAGGGATCAGTGCTTCTATGTTCTTTTTATGTCTCCAGGCCAGCTAAAAGTCTTGACTGAGCCCGGGAAAAAAATAAATAAATTGACGACTGGGGGCCTGTCAATTCATATTTTTTATAGCCCTGATTGATCAATCTTTGAATGAGGGTTAGGGTTTGGGTCTTGCCTAAAATTTTACGTTTTTCAAATAACCTTTTCTGGAAGCAAAAATATTTAATAAATACGTGAAAAATATTTGATTATTTTTTTTATTAAGGATTTTAAAAAAAAAACTCTATTTATTTATTTAATGCATGCATTTAAAGAAATCATTTAAATGTTTACATTTAGAAATAGAGATCTTTCCAATTTTTAATTTATGAAATATGCAGCACATTTGGCTTTCCCTACACATTTGATCCCATTTATAGATTTCTACATTTGTCATGTTAAAATTGGACCACAAAATGTTCTGGTCGAAATCTTTCTTAAGCAGTTAAGGTTTCACAGAAGGATTGTCTATTTATTCACTTCCACCACAGCATTGTTGCAGCTGTGGATGTGCCATATAGTCATATCAGACAAATTAAAAACTTCTCAACCTGTTAACAAAACCCATTGGTTCAGTCTTAATTATAACTTTATCTAGCAAAGATAGGGAACACACCCTTGACAGAATCTGCAGAGTTTTTTGCACCACCAGAGCGCTTAGAAGCTATTACCGCCTTCTCAGGCTTTTGCAGGTGAGGTCGATCTAAAGTTTTATTCTATCTAAAGCTGTTCCTCTGGCTTGATGTGGCTTCTTTAGGTTAGAGCCGCTGTACCCTTCATGTTAAAGGGATGGAGCTGCTGCCTGACTGTGTACGGTGGGGAAGATACAGGTTCTGTATTTTCCTGTCTCCACCTGCAGCACAGCCAATCTTATGTATAGCAGCTTGACAAACTTCAGAGAAACTGTGTCAGAGGCATAACCAGTTGGAAGGAATGGCTGGTGGGGGTACATCCCAATACTCCAATGGATCATAGGAACGAATTTTATGAAACTTAAGAATAAAGATCCAATTCCTTGCAAACATCTTTAAAAAAAAAAAAATTATATTTGTGGGAAAAGATTCAAGCCCCCCCCCCCCTGATGTGGGCCCAGGATAACTAACCTGGTTGTCCCCCCCTGTCGGAGGGCGTGTAAGTCTCCACTCTCTCTTTGAACACCAGTCTGCATCAGCAGAAGGTTGCTCACCCAGAGCCCACTTCCTGTTTCAAATTGAGTTTTCCCTCTCTGCTGTCGGTGCGAGTGATTGCTGCAGAGTTAATGATACAATGCAAGCAAATGTCTGCTGCCACTATTGGCTCATCTAGTTCTTCAAAGTCAGTGATTCAAAGCAGTCAGCTAGGTTTCCATATATAGAAAACCTTGAACCAATCTGTCTGTGTGGTTTGATTAGATCGACTGTGAAGTGCCTTGTGTTATGAATTACAGTATTATATGTATTAATATACATTTGACACCACTGACAAATTGGAAAGCAATATATCTTATTGATATTTGTGTGTTTCTAAATTTTCTCTCAGGGTGTGAATGCCAGTTTGCAGACTATTGCATTCAGTGATGGAGCAAACTACCCAGCTCTTCGTCCGAACAGCTTGGATCAACTGAAGGAGAGCGAGCAGCACTGACCATCTCTAAGTCATGAACTCATTCCATTTCTCTGGACTTTGTTGGGACAGGTGTTTATGCCTTTGCTCATTGGAAAGCCTGCAGGGCCAACCTTGAGGGGATCTTATGGAAAACTCCATGGTTGAGTGTGTCTGGGTGTGCGCATATGCAGCATATAAACATAAAGTTAATCAAAATGGTAGTAAGTCAAAGTCTTGAAAACACCTTTTTCATTGCAGACTTTGGTGTTCTTTGCCATGGTATGTATTTAATTTTATTTTTCTGATTTCAATGGGTATTTTTTAGTGACTATAACCGGTCCTAATCAGCCATTTCTAAATTGAGTCTCCCTCAGAGGCAGTATATAAAATCCCCATGCTACAACCACAGCCTCATGTTGCACCAATTTGGAGTAACTATAACCTGCAGATTAAGTCTCAGATCAGATCTATATGTGCATTTCCTACAGATTAGCAAAAAATGTGTGTTTTCCTTTCCATGGACTATTTTATCCCACCTACTGTGTTATCTGGAATAAGCACATCTGGAAACTCTCCAGACATATGTTGTGTAATCAAGTCGACTGAGGAAAAAGGGAACAAAGATTAAAATGAGGTCTGTCTGTCACTGTCACCTTAAATGTTAATAATTAATGTTGGATCATAACAGTTTGTATATGTATGTCGTGAACTGAAAAAAGATAAGAATAAAACTGAAATGACATTGCAATGGTTATTGCCTAACTTCTTGTTTTTTTCCTTATGTTTAAATATGAATTGTCTTTTCAAATCACATTTTTAAGGCAGCATCTCTGCTATCTGGAACTAATTGGTATCTATTACTAAATTGAAATAAACATTTGTGTATATAATTTGGATTTAAGGGACCGTATTAAACAATGGACCGCTTTTTACATTCAACACATGAAAATCCTTTGATCTAAACCATTTTATCATGGCTCTGGTCACATGATTAATGTATGTAAACTCTAGCAGGTTTACATAGCCTGTGCTTATGTCTATCCATCCATCTATCCTTTGGTCAAAGCTTACAGTACCAGCTTTCCTGCCTCTGAGGAATACTTCTCTACCACCACCCCGTTAGTTTTTACAGTTTCATGTTGGCCTTATCTGACCATAGAAAAATGCTTTCACATGTTGTGTCCCCTAAATAGCTCATAGAAAATTGCAAGTGAGATTTCTTGCTTGAATCAAAGACTTAATGTCGAGAAAGTTTTCTTTTTTAATCTCTTTCTAAGGGACAGATATGTAGTGTGCATGAAGAATAGATGTTGTCTTTCTTTCACCTGAGCTGTAGATTGCTGCATCTCCTCCAGAGTTAGCCTTTTATATGTCTGTCGTTTTTTTTTAAAAGATATGGAATGAACAAAAATGTCAGATGCTCAAAGCTTGGGATTTTATGGGCGGCTAAACATACGTAGACCATGAAGTAAGGGTTTGTCCCATAACTGGTGGGTTCCCAGTTTGAGCCCTTTCTCTGTTAGTCTCAGTTGTTGTATTCTTGGGCCATACACTTACCTGCTGTTGGTGGCCGATTGTACCTCAGCCTTGTTTCTGTCAGTGTGCACCAGGGCAGCCTTAGCTTACCCCCATTACAGTATGAATGTGTGGGTGAATGTCTGGTGAAGTGCTTTTGAGTTGCAGGCCATTCACCATTTTGTTTTAGGCAACTACCCCTTAACTGTCTGTGCTGTGTCTGGATGGGAAGTTTGATCACTGATTTTCTCTAATAGAAAAGCTGCATTTAAACATACAATGAATCACACACAGGTGGATTCTGATTTATAATTAGTGAACATTTTTAGAGCAATCTTGTGGACTGGATTTTATTTATGAATATTGTAGAAAATGGGACTGAAAAGATGCATGGGCAACAGATTTGTAAAGAAACTCATTAATCATTTTTCATTTTGATAAATAATTTTGCTCAATTGCATTGGTCTTTCAGGTACAAAGAATAAACTGAAGGTTTTAGTTTCAATGTGAGTTTATGTGAATACATTAAAGCTGAATTAATATTTTATACAAGGCACTGTGGTTGTTCAAAAATGTTTTAGCCTTTTTTCCCTATGTTCCTTCATGTCTATGTATTTTCAATATTTTTTTTACCAAAAATAAAATAAAAAATGTATTGGTTTTTTGAACTGACGCCCAGTATTTTTTATATTATGTGTTTCTTCAACTAAGTCTGAATTGGTTTATTTGATTTAATTTCTTCAGAAACAAGACTATCTTTTCTAAATTGTGAGCACAGTTAATCTATTGGTTTTCACCGCCCTCTACTGGAAGACATTAGTAATTGTGCAATACGATTTTCAATCATGGACAGCTTGACTAAAGAAAGTAGTAGTGAATAAAGGGGTAGATCAATAAAGTAAAGTTATTTAGTAAAGAGAGCAAAGTAAAAACCCACTTTGCTTAGATGTTGTCATGCTTAACATAAATCAATCATAGTTGTTTTTCTATTGATTTAAAAAAAATAAAAATAAAAAAAATAAACAGGCCTAAAAGATGTTGCTCTACAGCCCTCCTTTTTGCTCTGAGTGTTTGTTATCCAAGCTGTATGTCACATCCAGTCTCAGAGGCTCATTTACATGTTTTAATGCAAAACAGGCGCTCATTAACTTATAGGTTTGAGACTGTTGACTGACACAGCTTTTATTTTGTGATTAATAATCATTTTTATGCTGTTTTTGTTTCTTTCACAATAGTGTTTCCTCCATATTTGTACCTTCACTCAGGGTGTATACATTTTGTAATCAGTGCTTTTTAAATGCATATTGTCCCTTTAAATTAGATTGTTTACAGCATACATTTACTTTCAGTTCAATGCTTGAACAAAAACAATTAATGCGACAAACATGTGCTTCAGTGACATTCTTGGTCCCTAGAGCCAGTTTGATGCTGGGAACTGATGGTGATTCCCAGCTGTTTTCCCTCTGAGCTTTTTTTTCATGGGAGCAAAATCAAACCCAGGACTTGCTGGAGAGACTGTATCACTTATGGGCTGCAAATGTTTGATGAACCCATGAGGAGGAAAAACCTTATGCCTGAAGAGAGGGATGTATGGATTTTCTTCCGGGAGCTATTTATCAAGAAAAGGGGTTTAATAAATTAAAAGGTGTTGCAGTAATGTTTAGTGTCATAAAAATCTAAGTTTGACTCTTGATTTTTCTGTTGAAATATGATCAAATAATCGTTCCACATTCTCTGACATTTTATATTTTATATTTTTATTTGTATCCTCTTTTTAATACCGTAAGTAAAGTCTCAATAAATGTCACACCCGTTCTGATTAATAATACATTAGAAATGTTGAGGACAGATATTCCAAATTATGTTTTTGAGATTGCAAAAACAACAAATACAACCCAATTAAAAAAAATAAGACATGCACATTTCAGTAACTTAAATGCAAATTCAAGCATTACTTTGAGATTTGTTTCATTGGTTCTTCCACCGTAAAGCAACCTTAAGAGAATCCTTCAGATAAATTTATCCACTGTGAGCATAGTAGCATGACACAGAAGATCATTTTATTTGTGAAATATAGGACGCCATGCCATTTAAGAAAGTGTGATAATCCTTTTGTCACAATCCAATCGCTGATCATCTAAAATTGCTAATATCTAATTAAGTAGAAAGAATTTTAAACTGGACCAGTTTGCCGGAGAAACGAAGTTTCTTCATTGACCATCAAGGCCAGACGAGGGTCCAAGTTTTTCATGCCGACTCACAGAGAGAAGAAGGGTGAAAAAAAAAAAAACATCTCCAAAACTAAATGTTATAGACCTGCAGTAAACAGCACTGTTAGCATCAGGGGCTCAGAAAATCCCCAAAATGGCAGTTTATTTTAAAGGATTGTAAGAAATTCTTTAACAAGGGTAAAATAAATGTAAAGGGTACGGTATTGTGATCTGCATATTCATCTCCATCCTTAAACTCCAAGAAAAACATAAAAAACAAATGTTTTTTCTACAGACATTTAATACCATTCAAAATAAAAATGGATCATAATGCTGTGAGAGAGAAAAAAAACTTTCACTTCAGTACTTTAGTTTTTTTTTTTTTTTTCTGGGAGGGTGTTTAAAGTGAATAAAACAATCAACATAACAAATGCATCCCTTCTGTGGAAAGATTCTTTAACAAGACAAGCAGGACTGTAGGGAATTAATAACTAATAGTATCACTGATGTATGCATGTTGCTTTTGTTAACAAAATAAAATTACAGGTTTGCGAACAAGAAGCACAAAGAAAAATCTATAAGACAAAAATATTCTTAACAATAACATTAATTACAAAAAATTCTTTTTGGAAATGAACTAATCTGTATTTAAAGGAATCGATCAAATGATATGAGGATGCCATTTCAGAGGCTGTGATATTTATTTATTTATTCTATTGCTGCGCTTGTCATTTAGTTTGCTTTTACCGATAAGATCTCAGTGAGACGACCTGAATGATATATGAATGAAAACAGAGTTGCTGCGCTTCTTTCCATCTCTCACATTCTCAAGTTTATCAATTCTTCATTGTTTTTGTTTAATTTAACTAGGGCTGAAACAATAAATCCGATTAATCATGATAAATCGATTATTGAAATAATCGTCACCTAATTTAATAATCGGTTAATCATTAACTGGAGTGTAAAGACTCTAAAATGTGCCTTTAGCTGACAGAGCAACCCAATTAGAGCAGTAATTATACCAATATTGTAAAAATAAATATATTAGACATCTAGCATTTTTGGTGAAAAACTTATTTGTCTGTCAGTAGGATTTATCCTGAACTCCACAAGTGGAAAAATTTTAGTTCCACTTGGCTTAATTTCACTAAAAATCTTCTTTAAGGAGTCTTTGGCTATCCGATTATTAATTGATTATTCCAAAAAAATAATAAATTCGCAAAATAATAAGTTGCAGCTCTAAACTTAACTCAGTTCAGTTTTGTTCATCCACATTTCTATTTGGGTAGCATGGCAGATTGCATTTTTACATCATTCCCTAGGATTCAAACACAGACCCACCTCCTTCTGAAGGAAATGGAGAGCTGCAACAAATAACCAAAGCTGCTTATAACAGTCATCGCTCCAGATGGACAGGTTTAAAAGTTTCTTTTTCTGAGATGGGGCATTAACAAACAAACAAAAAAATGACTCTAGGTACGGAGGTAGAAAAAATGTGACCAAAATAAATAAATAAATAAATAAACACTCGAAATTGTGCTGCCAGACATGTATATCTGAATGTTCTTCATGTGGCACCGGTGAGCTCAGGATTGTCTCTTACTGGGAAGCGTTATATATTAATAAGGAGTTCTCCTTTTCAGGTCATCAGTTGTCGTGATTGGTTTTCCAAGCAAGGAAACACATACCACACAGAAAAACAAGGTGGAAAAGAAGAGACGAAAACTGTCTACCAGTTTGGTTTTCCTTCTGTTCTTGACCAGCTCAAGCTTATGTAGCCAGATAAGATTTGACAAAGCATATTTATCTAAATATGCTGTCACTTAAACATTAAATTTAATCTTCTCCTGTTGTCTTACCAGACTAGAACTTGTTGAGCCACTTTTAACCGTTCAATAGAAGAGGCAAAGCTTGCTCCAAAGGCAGGCATTGCTAGAACCTGATCAAGGTTATTTAATAGAACAATCCAAACTGTTTGCCATAAATCTTATCTGATGGTGCGGGGTGCAGAGGAAAACATCTTTGGCAACTCAGGAAGAACAGACCAACCTTCGGAGGGATGTGAAACTAATTACGAGTCAAACACTGAAATCGGTTCTTGAAGTACAGGAGGCCGTTTTTTGTGCGCGTGGCATCAGAGGAGGGCGGTGGGTAGCGAAACTTGGCGTACGTCTTGTCACTTTCAGATTGCGTGACCCATGGTAGCTTGATCTTGGTTGCGTGATTGATAATGACGTCGTCACAGGAGCCGACGTGGAGAGATCCAAGGCCGTCGATAAAAAACTCTGCAAGATGTCAAAAAAAGGGAACTAAGAAACATGAATCAAATACATAGAATTAATTTATTTAATTCAAAAGAAAGACTAAAAAAAACTGTGAAATGGGGAAAAAAAAGTCAGTATTTTTTACATTGCAAAAAGGCCTAATTTCAGACCTTCTTTTTTGAAGCAACTATGTTCTAGCCTCGTGAGACCATCCTGATCTTGCGAGCTTTCAAGATTTCACTCGCTAATCAGTCTGGAGACTCTCCGTTAAAGAAAATTTGGAGCCGTTCACCAAACGAACGTCCAATCAGCGTTGGCTTTGAGGCGGGTTGAGGTGTGACGCAACGAGAAGCGCGACAGTTCAGTCTAAAGAACGTGGCGGCTTCAGCCGATGAAACTAGCGTTAGCGTGGCTATCGAGCAAGTTTTATCGGAATTACAGAGTATTTTTTCTTAACTGAAAGAAGAGCAAAACACTGCTCTGGAGGCTTTTCTCAGAGGAAAAGATGTTTTTGCTCTTCACCCGACTGGTTTCGGCAAGAGTAGCCTGGCTTGTGGTTGTGTTTTCGTCGTCGCTCTGTTAGTACGTGATATGCTTCGTTGATCTGATTGGTTTATTTGGCCCGTCTATCACCAACATAGGCCAATCAGATAACCAGTATTTTCGACCCTTCCCAAAATTACTTCAATGGAAGGTTTCCAGGTGGATATGCGGAGCAAATCCATCTGGAGGAGCCAGGTTAACTATGTTCCAATAGTGCACACCTGTGATAAATACTCATACAACCAGTGTTATTTAAAACACACGCATGTAAACTTCTCTTCGCATCTATTGTGAACATTCTATTCTATGTCTGCAGATTCAGCACCATGACACCCTCAATACATCACAATCTTGAATGCATGCTCCTTTTCTGTGCTCTTGACTTGCTTTTTATGCACCTGTAGATTCTCTCCTGTGTCTGTGCGCTAAGGTCAGCCTTTATCAATTTGAGGGTGGAACACACCAGAGGACTGCCTGTGTTTTCCTATTTTTAGAGTACGCTCTCAGACAGCACTCTTTTCCTCTGAACAAGGTTACTGCAATTGTGGCCCTCAAGGTATGGTTTCTCACAACTTTTAGATGTGTCTCTAATCAACACAACACATATATGCCGTATATGGTGAATCAAAGGGTTGACCACAATTAGGGTCACTAAATTTACATTAAATTAGCTCCTTAACTAACTCATATGTAAATGGAAGACACTGAAGTTCTTCTTATGGTTTTGATTTAATCTTTTTTAGCGTTTTTTTGTGCAAAAATTAGCTTTCTAATGTAAATTGTGATTAGAAGTAGTTGCTTCATGTTCACTTTAAGCTAGGAGATTAATATTTTATCCTTCTCTCTTATGTGTTTTATTGGATGTCCATTTTCTTGGCTGTAATTGACTTTTTCCAAACTAACTCAAGGGTACTGAGATTGCAATAAAGAGTGGCTTAGGCATATTTCGATGTTCTGCAACCAGCCAGTAGGTCACTGGCAGGAGGTTTCGGAGAGCCACTGTCTACATGGTTACAATAAACCCTGTCCTTCCCTCAATGATTAAGGTTGGAGTGTTTTCTTTTTTTTGCCTTTCGCTCTAATAA